TACTGGTTTACTTGGTAATTGGCGCAAATTGGGGAGACTTTGTCTTTCTGTGTTCAAGCTAATATGGTTTGCTATTTTTTTCTCTTAGTAATGTTTGCCATTCTGTCAACTCACAATTTCTGGGTTGTTCCATAAGTTGTTCCTCTATTGATATGTTTCTTCTACTATTGTGTCTGCCTCTACCCTCCATTTCTCTTCCATATTATGGTCATTGTCCTGTGTTGATTTTGTCACCTTTTCTAGTTCTTGCAATTCCAGTTCTGAAAAACACTTTATTCCGGATGAATAACCTTCTCTGGTCCATTAATCATTGTCACTAATTTGATGTTTCCTCTTCCAAATTTCCATCATTCTTTTTTGAAAACTGTTTTCAAAAAAGCTGTTGTGTTTGCCTCATAATAGCATTTCTCAGTTTTTGATGAGACTCCAAGTTTTGTGTTCATGTTGCTCCAGTAGCTTTGCAGCAGCCTGTCCTGGTTCCTCAACAGGGTCTGCTGAGCCCTGTAGCCCATTTGTCACCAGATACCCAAGGGCTGTAGCATGTGATGTGGTCCTTGTTGATCTGGGTGATGTCTGATCCAGCAGCCCATTTGTCACCAGATGCCCAAGGGCTGTAGCATGTAATGTGGTCCTTGTTGACCTGGCTGATGACCGATCCAGCATGGATTTATGTTTATTTCCTCTCATCATAACTGATGGTTGGTGGATACACTTGATCTGGCTTCTCAGCTTTGACTTGTCTGGCTTAGGAGACCCATGAGCATAACTCTCAATCTTACTGGAGCATGCAGGCCCCTCCACCTCAAAAAGGCCTATGCCCATGGATGGGATGCTGCTGCTGCTGCTGATGATTTATAAATATTTAAGATCACAGTGTAATGTATATGGCAAATCCATAGCTGTTTGGACCTGGAAATATAAAATAGGACAGTTGACTCATAACCTGAAGGAAGGACAAACTTATAAAACAACAAAATTTGCAGCTTCTAAACTTGCTAGGAATCCATGTTCCAGGAGTCATGTACCTCTAAATACATTGTAAGTTGACTTTATTGCCTTTTTAAAGCAAGAAGAACATTATTACAGCCAGTAAAGTTAATGATACACCAGCAGCCACAAAAACAAAGTGATTGAGCTTCACACTTAATTTTCACATCCCTGAACAATGGTCTCCCACTGCAAACAGCTGCATGGCTCACAATACATGGCTAGTGAGTTACTCTTAGTCTGGTCGGTTTGGAATACTACAACTGCCACTTCTGTATGCAAAGTTTTTGATTTTCTTCTGTTTAAAGTCTGTTTTTGCTCCTCTCAACTCTCTACAGAATGTAGAGAAAGCAGCATTATCCACAAGCCTATTCCTTCGCCACTCCCAAGAGAAAGAAGAAAATGGAAAGTCCCCTCAGCTAATGCCTGACAATGTCATGTCTTTCCCAAGGAAAGGAGAGAAATTGTGTGGTGGTTACAGGATGTAATCATTACTTTTTTGTTACTATGGTTTTAATAAGGGAACTGTCATTATTCTGCTTGATTGGCATTTGGGAGAAAAAACTGCCTTTGGCTGTCAGTGGATAAATGTGAACCCTCCTTCAGACTTCTTGACCTGAAACTGAGCTGTTGTGTCTAGTGTAACTCAATGTGTCTTATAATGAATTTTCAAAGGAAAAGGAGAAAAGGAGAATTCCTGTCTGCTCAAAATGTTAATTTGAGTATCTCAGCCTTTTGGGAATAAAACAGTGGTCACTGGATAATAAGGTGTTTCAATTTTTCACTTTCATCTTTCTTTTGTAAGTGAAAAAGTGGTAGGCAATTGAGGATAGGTAGAAGGAGTGAGAAAAAAGAATTCAGCAGGATAGTGCAAATTTTTTTTTAATTTTATTTTATATATACAGTATTATATTTTCTCTCTTTTTTCTTCCACTGTATGTTTTACTTTATTCTTTAATTTATTTACATTGTACTGGAATTTACTTTATTGTTTTTCCTTCCTTTTCTTATCTTTTCTTTCATCTTTTTGGACAACTGGCACTTTAAATTAATTTCTGTTTAATTTTTTTGTATGTTAATAATATCGTTATTATTATATAATTTTTGTATTAATTTAGGGTTTTTCTTTTTCCCCTCTTTTTTCTTGGTATGTAATGGAAGGCCTGCCTTCCCAGCGAGGGGCCACAGAATGGGCCACAGCAATAATTAATGGGTCTTTCCTTGAGGGCAGGGTTCCTCCTGCCCTTCAGGAGACACTCATTAGGCCCATAAGGAAGAAACCTAGTTTGGCGGCGGATGAAATTGGCAATTATAGGACCGTTGCCAATGTTTCTTTCATAACAAAGAGGTGGAGAGGGTGGTGGCCGATCAGCTTCAGGCTCATTTGGATGAAATAGATGCCCTGGATCTGTTCTAGTCGGGTTTCAGGCCGTGCCATGGTATAGAAACGGCACTGGTCGTTCTGTATGATGACCTGCTTAGGGAAGCTGATGGGGGTTAAAATGTCTCTGTTGGTCCTCCTTGACATCTTGGCGGCCTTTGATACTGTCAACCACAGTATCCTCCTGAGGAGGCTCTCCGAGTTGGGAATTGGTGGCCATGCATTTGAATGTCTTTGATCCTTCCTCGGGGACCCCGTGAACCCTCAATTGTGGGGTTCCACAGGGTTCGATCATCTCCCCAATGCTGTTTAATATCTACATGAAGCAGCTGGGTGGGGACATCAGGGGGTGTGGGGCGTCATGCCTTCAGTACACTGATGACACTCAGCTCTACATCTCCTTTTCTCCAACTGCAGTGAATGCTGTTCTGTCCCTTCAGCGCTGCTTGGAGTCTGTGCTGCAATGGATGCAGGAAAATGGTCTGTGGCTGAACCCGGACAAGACGGTGGTCCTGAGGGTGGGTGGCCCCACCGTCAGCAGTCTGGGAAACTCATTTGGGGGTGTGACTCTTACCGCAAGGAGTGAGGTTCGTAGCTTGGGGGTCCATCTGGACCTGGCACTCACCATGGAAACTCAGATAGCCCAGCTGCGTCCCTATCTTGATGTTGGGGCACTCACCACTTTGGTACATGCACTTGCAATCTCGAGATTAGACCACTGTAATGCGCTCTACATGGGGCTACCTTTGAGGTTGATGCAGAAAATCCAAGTGGTGCAGGACGCGGTGGTCAGACTCCTTAGTGGAGTGAGAAAATATCAGCATATCTCTCTCACTCTGGCCACTTTGCATTGGCTGCCCATTCAGTTCTGCATTGACTTCAAAGTTTTAATGCTTACATATAAAACCCTAAACGGTTTAGGGCCTCGATACCTGGCAGAGCGCCTGTCCCCACCTAGCTCTACTTGGGTCACTTGATCAAGCCAGACCAGAAGGTTAAGGGGCTTAACCCCGAGAGAGACCTGGAAGGAGAGAACAAGAAACCAGGCCTTCTCGGCGGTAGCACCTCATCTTTGGAACACCTTACCTTTGGAGATTCGACTGGCACCCTCGCTGGGAATTTTTAAAAACAAATTGAAGACTCCTGAAAACTTGGATGTTTATGCAGGCCTTCCCTCCAGTTAATACTTGATTTCTTTTTTCTTCTTATTTTTTTCTTTTCTCCCTTTTTTCATCTTGAATACCTTGTCTATTGATGTTTAACAATTTTGTTATATTTCATATGTTGTTATATATGTTGGTAGCCACCTAGAGTGATCGTTTGACTAGAAAGGTGGGGTATAAATGCAATAAATAAATAAATAAAATTGTTCATGCTGAAACTCCTGTTTTAATATCCAATTTAAAAAGGTTCAAAATTGCACAGCTGGGTAAGATCCTTGCCTGAGATTATGAAATACCATTGTCAATCCCCGTGGACATTTCCAGAGTGGCCTGATTGATGATATGATTCAGTGTAAGGCAGGCTCATAAGTCCAAACTTGAAATGTATATAGAAGAGAGTTGAAAATATCTCAATATATCTCAATATATGTCAATATAATCAATATACCATGATTTCATAGGGTTTCTCCCATGGTCATATGCATGGTATTTGTGCATATTTTTTCACATTTTCCTAATCTGTGCATTTAGTGACATGCATTACCTCCTGTACATATTTTTCCCACTGACTAAATCATGTTTTTATTTATTTTTAAATTGTATATGTTTTAACCATTCACAGTTCACAATGTGTGTATTGTTGTGTCTTTGCTTCTTTTCTTGAAACAGCCCATGAAACTTAACAAATCTGTAAAGTATCAGGATGGTGTTTCTTCTCTCAACTTACCAAGTTTTGGAAGGCTGATCGAGACCATTAGAGCCAGTGAAATTCTTTCCTTCTCTAATATATTGCTTGCATTTCTCACTGTCTCTGGTTTCATGGGGCTGTCAGGTCAAGCATTAGATGTGAGCTTTCATTTTCCTCTTTACAGATCTCCACAAGGAATAAAACGCCCAAAAACACTGTTCCCTGTTTCTTGATAGACGGTGTTCTTCCGACCTTGAAGAAGGATGTTTTTGTCTGCAAGGAAGAAAGGAAGGATGACACCGATAGCTATCTCCATCTTTGAAATAACTCAACTTTGTCATTCTTCTCCTCATTCGTTTATTTTCAAAGCTCTGAATACAATCAGATCAGACTACATAAACATACATTTATTTGCTCTTTTTGACTTTTAATGGCAAAAGGTGAAGTGCTAATACACATCCAGTGTTCAATGTCCCTCATGATCTCAATGGTCCTGAAAATCACTCTTTTCTCTTCCTCCCCTCCCTTGCCCCTCCTTCTTATTCTCCTTCTGTATTTATTTATATAATGACATTGAAAGTACCATTACACTTTAAAAGGAAACTTTCATCAACTGCTGTCCCCAAATAACAATAGTTCCATACGTCAATAAGTGTGTCATCAGGATTTTGACCATAGAGATGGAAAGATGAAAGAGAAAACCTAATAGACTAATTTGCTCAATATATGCTATATGTTATATATACTCAATGTGGGCTGAGGGCTATAAACTTAAAAGAAGTTTCATAGTGAAGAGGAAAAAGAGAGAAGTATGGTAGTGGAAGTTTTCTGTAATATTTTTTTCAGGCTGGCCACTTGGACAGTTAGGAACATTTGAAGATGGGAACAGGATTCTACTCCTTAGTCCAGCCCTCTCTGCTGGGTTTCCCATTACTCCCCACTATGACATTCCCAGTGTTGGGAGGGAAAGGAAAAAGACTGCTCCTTGCACAGTTTAGAACTAGCAGTGAAAGAGAGTGTTATGTTGCTTCAGTTTTCATAAGAATGTACTGATACGTGCAAGTTTCTTTATACAGTACTTGAGATAGAAAATTGAGAGTTAAAAAAAGTTTTAAAATCTATTATGAGACAAAGCGTACTGGTGTAGTGTAATGGATAGAGTGTTGGGTTAGGACTCAGAAGACTGGTTTCAATTCCCTGCTCCGTCATGGAATTTCACAGGGGCTGGCAATAGTAAATGACCCCTTGAACATCTCATGTGCCTCAAAAACATTATTAAGATTGCTGTTCATTGTACAAGCTGAGAAGCTTTTGACCTTCCAAAACCGTCATGGTGGTAGAGTTGTCCTGCAGGATGTCAAGAAACCAGAGCAAGATGGATGGAAGGATGGAGCTGCTGCCATGCAGGTTGCCCTTCACCTGGAGAAGAGCGTGAACCAGGCTCTACTGGATTTGCACCAAGTGGCTTTGCGCCAATCTGATCCCCATATGTGTGACTTCCTGGAGACTCACTACCTTGATGAAGAGGTGAAGCTGATCAAGAAACTGGGAGACCATGTGACCAACCTGTTGCGTGTGTGTGCCCAGATGAAGGCCTCGGCAAGTACCTCTTTGACTGTCTGACCCTGGGCAAGTCCAGTGACTGAGCAAAGAGCTCCCAGCTTCCTCCCAACATCTGTACCCTTATCCAGATGTGTTTTGTTTAGCCTGTAACCAAAGCTGGCTGCTCCAGAAAGAAAGAAAACAGCTCTTGTGCCTCTGCCCATTCTCTGTGTTGGGAGAGTCTGTAACTGGCATTAAATAAACCTGGCATTAAGCACTAAAAAGATTGCTATTCATTGTGACAACACATAACAGAGACAACAATGAAAAAAATAGATAAATGAATCCATCCAGTCTCAGGGCTCCGAATACTTAACCTTAGAGGTTTAGGTTTCAGTTAGCGCTATGCAGATTTATGGTTTTGAACTCTTAACTCCTAGGATTTCCCAGACAGCAAGACAATCATGCTGCCTAGAGAATTCTAGGAGCTGTACAGCAAACACAAACCTGAACTAGAGATGAGCATTGTGGCATACAGCTCTGCTCTCACCTGTCCGTCACAGCTGGGCAGAGGAACCTCAGCCAATGAGAGGACGGAGGGTGATGCAGAAGGGGGAGGAGCTGGATTATATAAGGTGTATGTGATGTGTGAAAGGGGGAGTTTTGGGGAGTTTGAAAAGATGAGAGAAGTTGATTGAGAGAAGGAGATAGATTTGAGAGAGACAGTCAGTGTGGGAAAAGTCGGTGTGATCTAGTAATTGAGAAATGTGATTAACAACTTGATTTATTACCTGTGATTCACCCTTTTTATTTTGTACAAATCAATAAACACTTTGTTTGAAAGAAAAACTTGTCCTTTGTGAGTACTAAGGATAGGTTGGTGGCAGCAAGTGAAGAATAATTCCCACTATTCTGGGAGTGAATGTGTGTGAGATATCAGATAGGGACTGATAGGGCTTGGATAGGGTTTAGAGAGGAGTTAGGAGATCTGTGATATATTGTGAGAGTCTGTGTATGCTAGTGCCTTGATTATAGTGATTGAATTATTATTTATTATAAGTGATTTACCATTCCTTTTATTTGTACCCAATAAACCTGAGTTTTTATTTTGAATCATATTTTGGCCTGAAGCTACTTATTTGAGGGAATGGTTGGTGGCAGTGGAAAAGAAGAGTGATTTAGAGTGACACAGCGACCCCCCTTTGTGAGGTAGAGGGAGGCCGTTACACTAAGGATAGGTTGGTGGCAGCAAGTGAAGAATAGTAGTGAGCACTCTTGGAGGCCTGTATTGGTAGAGGCTTGAGAGTGGCCCCCCACAAGCATGAACTTTAATTCAGAGGCCTGGCTCAATTTGTCACTGCACCCACACAGGTGTTGTGTGGGCATGGTGCCTTCCTGCCTCCCCAGCATGCTTGCCCATTCCTTGAGTGACACTTACTTCCCTCCCCAACTCCCCAGCACAACTGCCCACTCACCTTTTGCAATTTGATTTTCTCTCTTCATCCTCCTCCTCCAGCCACCCATTCAAAGGGAGTGGTGCATGAATCCCTGCCCCACTTCCTCATGGGAGTGGGTGGCTGATAGAGAAGGCAGAAGAAGGAAGAGCACACTGAAAAAGATGAGTGAGCAGTCACACTGGGGAGGTGGGGAGGGAAGTGTGTTGCCCAAGGAATGAGCGAGCCTACAGGGGAGGTGGGAGGTTGAGGGCGTCATGCCCATACAACACCTATGTGGGTGCAGTGATGAATTGGGCCAGACCTCTGAACCGCCCATCTCTAATATGCACACGTCTAGTTTCAGTCCTTCCTAATCTTTAATACAGTGGTGCCTCGCTTGACGATTACCTCGTTAGATAAGGAAATCGCTTGATGATTAGTTTTTTGCAATCGTTATTGCGATCGCTAAACAATGATTCAATTGGGGGTTTCCGTTTTACGATGATCGGTTCCCTGCTTCAGGAACTGATTTTTCATTTGATGATCAAAAACAGCTGATTGTCGGGGTTCAAAATGGCCACCCACTGTGCTTTAGGATGGATTCCTCGCATTTCAGGCACCGGAAAATGGCCGCCCTATGGAGGATCTTCATTGGACTCTGAGGTATTTCGCCCATTGGAACGCATTGAACTGGTTTTCAATGCATTTCAATGGGCTTTTTCATTTCGCTTGATGAGGATTTTGCTTAACAGCAATTTGAACAGAATGAATTATCCTCGTCAAGTGAGGCACCACTGTACATGCATGACTAGCAAGTACAACATTGTCTTCTTGCTTGTAATAGCAGTACCTTTTGACCTTGGAAATACAGATGGATGCAAACATGTTTATTACTGAAGAATTTAATAAAATTCACAAAATCATAAAGTCTCGACATTATGTCTCTGCTTTGGAATCAACTGTTACACAATGGATCATTTTGGTATTACAGACTATACAAGGTATTATCAGAATGGGTGATTATTAGGAAGTTTTGCATGTAGTTCCATGGAAAGACTGGATGTGTCTGAGCAAAGTGTGCAAAGCAAACGTTTTGGCGAGAGTGATAATTAGGGTCATTAGAGTTCAGTGATTAGTATGCAATATGTGAGTGTGGGAAAGGCAGGGTAGGAGGAAGGAAGAGGATTATATGTCTATGAGGTTGATCATGAGTCTGAGATGAAATGAGGAAGAAGGAAGTTAATCAGAGAAACTGAAGATAAAGATGAGTGTAGACCATCTGTCCCTCCAACGTTTCTCTCTGCTCCACTGGCATCTGCTTCTGGACCCGGTGAACATGTAGAATTTCTGCTTAATGCCAAGTCAGCTCTACTCACCAGGAAAACCTTCCATTACAGGGCTGGCTATTTTTTTAAATCAGCAAGACAGAAGAGGGGAGATGTTATTGGCATACTCTTCTCTTTCTCCCTTACAGTTCTCCTGAATGAGGGGCTGATGTTGTCTTAAACATGGCACTGAGAGCCATTGAATATTAGTTTTCATGGACTTGACCCGGGCCAGTTTATGGCTTCATGGTATTCAGACTAACCATGGCTCTGACTCACTTTGTCACCAGGACAACAAATAAAGTGGGACAAATTCCATCTACTCTTTGCCTTGTGTTGTAATCTGGAAAGAGGCAGTGGTGGTAATTACCTGTTCCTATAATCTGTGTGGTAAACAGGAATTCTGTTACAATGCTGTTCCATAGTAAAGGTGTTCTAAATAACTAAATGCCAGAAATAGAGAATAAACATACAGATATGAGCAAATCCCTTGAAAATTTTTACTAGTCATGTCAGATGCAGTTTTTTTTTCTCCTTGACATTTCTGAGATGAAGCAATACAGGTGAAATACGCCAGATTTCCCTTGGATTTTGTTGGGAGTTAGAAAGAAATATGTAGCAACTCTGGAATGATAAATATGATTTTTAAAATTGACACACACACCCTGTTAACATAGTGCAGTACTACATGTGCTGATGTGTTGCTGTTGTTTATGTTGCTGTTGCTGTTGTACAACATTTACTTGTTAACTGGTATACATAATTAGCTGCAGTAACAGGCACCAAACAACCAAGATTATGAGAGATTTTTACATACTTAGGAGCAGCACGAAGGCCAGGCAAAGCCTTAACGAGAGGCTTGGGAAACCAAATTGCTTTTCATCTCACCTTCAAGCAAAGTAGCATACATGAATGACATTGACCCTATGTATGTACGGCACAGAAAATGGAGACTGATTGAAAAGGGCTGGGGGAAAGTCATTAAAATTAACCAATATAATCCCTTTATAAAATAACAAAGGCTAAATGAAACTCTTTAAATATGACAGTTCCCAGTGTTAAGAGAGTGTTTAATAAATTATGCATTTAAATCACTGAACACTTGACAAGCAACCAAGGAGTGAAAGAAGAAATAAACGTTTCCAGGTTGGCTCACATACAGCAGTACCTTTTTAACTGCATGTAGCACTGCATTTCTTTCGTGTTTTTTTTAAACTATCAATGTCATTATTGCATTGCAACTTTGCTCAGTAGACTCAATAATAAAGTGCTGCAGAAATGGCTTAAGTAAATGTACTTCAGAAATTTCCACTAAAACAGGAAGAAAACGTATCCAAAGGCACTCAACAAACAGTTGTTTTTGGAGAACAATACTTGGGAGAGCTTTTTGTACCTAATTTCTCTGGTGTTGAGGTGAAAGTGTAGGTGTTAGCAAAACATATTAGTTCCTAGCAACAATAAGGCAATTCAATTTCCATTTAACAATCCATATATTCAAAAGGCTAGGGACGTGGTGGCGCTGCGGGCTAAACCACAGAAGCCTGTGCTGCAGGGTCAGAAGACCAAGCAGTTGTAAGATTGAATCCACGCGACGGAGTGAGCTCCCGTCACTTTGTCCCAGCTCCCGCCAGCCTAGCAGTTCGAAAGCATGCAAATGCAAGTAGATAAATAGGGACCACCTCGGTGGGAAGGTAACAGCGTTCCGTGTCTGAGTCACACTGGCCATGTGACCACGGAAGATTGTCTTCGGACAAAACACTGGCTCTATGGCTTGGAAACGGGGATGAGCACCGCACCCTAGAGTCAGACACGACTGGACAAAAAATTGTCAAGGTGAACCTTTACCTTTATCTATATTCAAAAGCCACATTTAAATTAGTGAAAAACAATGTTCCCAAGGCCCAATGTAAAATGAACCTGATTAAAACAAATCATTCTAGAAGAATTAAATTCAGTTTGCTTTCCAATTTAGTGTTGTACTTCTGGTATCAGCAGAAATAAGCATATATTAATTTTTCAGTTTTGTTTTTTCACACATTGAGATTTTAAAAAGATTTTTAAAGAGCCTCATGGCACAGTAGTTAAACTGCTGTACTGCAGCCTAAACTGTGCTCACGACCTGGGGTTCAATCCCAGGTAGCTGGCTCAAGGCTGACTCAGCCTTCTCTCCTTCTGAGGTTGATAAAATGGTAAAATGAGTACCCAGCTTGCCGGGGGGGGGGCGACAATGTGTAGCCTGCATAATTATCTTGTAAACCACCCAGAGAGAGCTTGAAGTGCTGTGGGGCAGTATATAAGCAGCATGCTTTGCTTTCTTTTGCTTTTAAAATCTAATGTTCTGTC